AAACTTTACATTTTTAACCAAATCATTTGGGAACCAATATTTTAATAGCCGGAAAGTCTCTGGGTTATTCCCGGCTAGAGCTAAAGAGGCAGTGATTTTTTAATACCATGTGAATCCTTTTATCCTCTCTTCACAATTCTGGCAAAATCAAAACAAAACAAAATACCCATAACCAAGCACATTCGTTTAACAAATTCATTCAACCAAAATGTATTATGCTTCTGCTACACACCAAGCAGTCAATACTTGGGGTAACCAATGGCATGATGGGGCCTGGTATAAAAAGATAAATTTAGGCAAACAGATTTCCTCTCTTAGCAATCTGAAGTATACTCAAAGGAATATAAATCATTCCATTATAAAGGCACATGCATGCGTATGTTCATTTCAGCACTATTCATAGTAGCAAAGGCATGGAATCTACCTAAATGCCTATCAACAATAGCCCGGATAAAGAAAATGTAGTACATGTACATTATGGAATACTATGCAGCCATAAAAAAGAATGAGATCATGTCCTTTGCAGGGACATGAGGGAGCTGGAGGCCATATACCCTTAGCAAAGTAATGCAGTAACAGAGAAAAATACTGCATGTTCTCACTTAGAAGTGGGAGCCAAATGATGAGAACACATGAACACATAGAGGGGAATGACACACACTGGGGCTCATCAGAGGACAAAGGATGGGAGGAGGGAGAGGACCAAGAAAAATAAGTAATGGGTACTAGGCTTAATACCTGGGTGATAAAATAATCTCTACAACAAACCCCCATGACACAAGCTTACCTATGTAGCACACCTGCGCATATACTTTGAACTTAAAATACAAGTTAAAAAAAAAGAAAAAAAAAGGAAATCCAAGCCAACAGACAATAAGCTAGTGAGACATTTCATGTAGAAATGAGAGCTAAATGGCCACAATGTGGAGTGGGTCGAAGGGTTATGACAGTCATGTGACAGAAGTTCAGAGGAGGCAAGAGTAAGCCATGGAGAGAACAAGACGGGAGAAAACTTTAGTTTCTTCTGAAGAAGAAACCACATGTCCCGTGAAAGAGAAATGGCAAAGGTCTTGCCCTAGAACTGTCCCACTGGTTCTTGAAGTTCCAGTTTGAGGGTCCACGCATGTACAGAATACAATAGGCTTCATTTTCATAGTCAGTTTCTGATTTTCCATCTAAGAAGAAACTGGCATTTGAATAATTACTTCACCATTTACTTCTATGAGGACACACAGTACTCTATGCATATTTACATATTAGGGTTTACCCCCTGGGCACACATCTACACTCAGGACACATAACTCTCATGTATTTTTCTGTGATTTCACATTTCTTCTCTTCATAGAATCTTGATTCTAAGACATAAGCAATAGCATGTACATGTAAGCTTTGAGTGGGCATGGAAGACTTGCCTATTACTAATATTCCTGTCTTACAGGACCTGTGAGGGAAGACAGGCAATGCGACTAGTTGGAAGACTATTTGCTTTGTGGCTGTGAAACCCCCGATGGGAATTCTGACTCCACTGCTAGTCATGCGACTTTGGCTATACCACTGTATTAGTCTGCTCTCATGCTGCTAATAAAGACATACCTGAGACTGTGTAATTCATAAAGGAAAGAGGTCTAATTGACTCACAGTTCCACAAGGCTGGGGAGGCCTCACAATCATGGTAGAAGGCAAATGAGGAGCGAAGTCATTCTTACATGGTGCCAGGCAAGAAAACGTGTGCAGGGGAACTCCCCTTTACAAAACCATTACATCTTGTGCGACTTACTCACTCTCATGAGAACAGCACAGGAAAGATCTGCCCCCATGATTCAACTGCCCCCCACTGGGTCCCTCACATAACATGTGGGGATTATTACAGTTCAAGGTGAGATTTGGGTGGGGACACAGAGCCAAACCATATCAACCACTTTCATCCTCCCAGACTTAGTTGATGTCAATCAAAAAATATATGTAAAAAAATTTCACTCTCAAGTAGGTTGTGGAAATACTATATGCAGCAGCAGTTACAACCAGCACATGGTAGATAGTCAATAATCTTTACTTCTGTGTCTGACTAGCCCATAGTCACACCTGGCAATGAGCAGGAGTCTCATCTGAAACCCACTCATAACTCAGTTGTATCCTCCAGCCCAGGCATTTCTACATGTTCATGAAAATAAATTCAGGTAATATTCAAGCCTGGACACTGTTATCTTCCAGATTCTTTTTGAAGGCACTGCTCCATATTCTTCCTTCCTTCTTGATATCCTAAGGTGCCTTCTTTTTTTATCATTTCCTTTCTTCTGAAAAAACTGCCTTTAGCCCTTCTTTTAGTTAAGATTTCCTGCCAGTACATTCTCTTAGTTTTTCTTCAGCTGAGAACGTCTTGATTTCTGGTTCATTTCTGAAGGATACAGGATTTTGAGCTGTTAGTTCTTCTTTTAGCACTTGAAAAATGTCCCACTTCCTTCCAGACTCCATGGCTTGTGATGAACAATTGTTTGTTTCCAATAAGTAAGGTGTCATCTTTTTCTTGCTGCTATCGAGATTTCTTCCTTTTCTTCATTTTTCAGAAATTTGACTATGATCTATTTTGGTATGGATTTCTTCGGGGTTGCCCTCTTTGGAAGTTTACTTGGCTTCTTGAATCTACACGGTTATGTTTTTTGCAAAAATTGGAATATTTTCAGCCATTATTTCTTTTCTATTCCTACCTTTTTCAACCCTCCTCTGGGACTCTGAAGACATGAATGCTACATCTTTTGTTAGAGTCCCACGGTTCCCCAAGGGCTGTTTTCATTCTTTCCTTTAGTCTTTTTTTCTCTCTGTTTTCCAGATTGGTCAATTTCTATTGCTGTATCGTCTTGTTCACTGACTTTTTCTGATGTTCTCTCATTTTACTGTTGAGCACATCAATTGAGTTTTGTATTGAAGTTACAGCATTTTTAAAGTCCAAAACTTTCATCTTTATATCTTCTATTTCTTTGATGAGACTTTCTGTTGTTTCATTTGTTTCAATCATGCTTGTAAATTTTATAATGGAGGCTTTAAAATATCTGCCAGATAATTATAGCAGCTCTGTCATGTGAATGCAGGCATTTATCAATTCTCTTTTATGATCCAGCTTGAGGTTTTCCCAGGTCTTGGCATAATGAGTAATTTTTAACTGAAATCCTGACAATTTGGTATAATATTAAGAGACTCTTGACCTTATATAAACTTTCTGTTTCTGCTAGCTTTCCTTGGTGTCAGCCTAAAAGAGGAAGTGGAGAATGCTATCTCCTTAATGCGAGATAGAAGCCCAGGTATCTTGCTAGGCCTTCTTTGACACCTGAGGAGCATGGCTCCTTGTTACCGCTTGGATGAGGTGAGAATTCTGGCTCTCCAGTAAGCCTGTACTGATACACCTCTGGCTGAGAGGTGTAGGCATGCCTTGTTGCTACTCCCTACTTGGCCTTTACTGACACCATGAGAAGGAGGAAGGTAGAGTGGCCTTACTACCACGCAATGATGATGAAGGTCCCGACTCTCCACTAGACTTGTGTACTGCTACTCCAGGAGGGAGGAGAAGGAACATCTCATTATTCTCAGGTGAGGGTAGAAGTCCAGGCTTCTGGCATGGATGGGGGTGGTGGCTCATTACTGCCCAGTGGGGATGTGAGACTGCTTGGTGAGGGTAGATGTCTAAGATCCCCACTTGTCCTTTGCTTGCATGGATGAGTGTGGGGATGGTATATTTATCTGTGGTGTTGGGTTGGAGTAGAGCAGTTATGTCTAAAAGTCTCCTCTCTTGCTAGGCTGCCTCTTTCCTGGTTTTTTGGCTAGAGAGAGCAGGCTTTCCACCTGTGTCTATTGTTGTTTCTGGATTGTTGGGCTTCTTAGGCTCCAAGTGTGAGATATGTGAGGAAAAAAAATCACAGTGGTGAGGAAACTCACCACTGTGTTGTTTCGTGGGTCTTGAGGTCCTTAGTCAATCTGCCTTCTCTCCACCTTTCAGTCTTCTTCTATTAGGTTTACATATAAGGGTTTTTAGCTGTATATAGTGTGAGGCATAGAGAAAAGTAAGTCTACTCCATCTTCTTGGAAGTAGGAGTCTGCCCTCATTAGCTTTCTGATGCATAGTATTTCCACCTTAGATTATAAGTATTTCATAGGACAATGTTAATTCTGATTGTCAAAGTAGCAACACAGTTTACACTCTACCCTTTAGCCAGAGAATATGTGATGCTAAATTTTCTGCTTTCCAATTACCAACAATGCTAAGTAGTGAGAAGTCATTATTAATAGAGTATTACCAGAGAGTTCAGTCTAGTCATCACATAAAAGTTTTGTCCGTAGGTCAATTCAGATTACAAAACATGAATGTGCTCATAGTACTAAGCCCAAGTTGAGCAAAGTTATTTTTTTAAAAGTATGTAAATAATTTTTGAAGTCTTAATTTTTATTATTTTGGGGGTGTTATTAAAAGTACAATTCACTACATCTCACAGCATCCCGTTAAGAGGACAACGGAAGAAAGAAGTTCCCTCAGCTTTGTACTACAAGAAGCTGAACAACCAATTTATTTTTATATTTTAAAAGTCATAAAGCCAATCATTTCCTTCTTTGGCTGCCAGAAACTTCAGGATTAAGTCTGGTAATGACACAGATTTTCATACCCTTCATTTCATTTTGTTCCTCAGTTGAGATTTTACTTTTACAAAGATTTCCTCATGTATTTTTTTTTCCAGTAGGATAGTATGCATTTTGGTACTTCATTTATTTCAGAAACATATGGGTGAATAAATATATTAGAAAAAGACAGTGAGTTTATAAGCCCCTAATAGGACTGGAAACAAACTTCAGGTATGTTATTAACTCATCAGAGGAACTTAATATATGCTGCCATTTTCATCCCAAATGGCCTCTTTTTCAAGAAGCCCCCCCAAAATATTTGTTTTTGTCATACAACTTGCATTGTATTTGTGAGATGGAGATTTTTAAAAGGGACAGACAAGCACAATTACTACCTGGAGGACCGAAGCACCACTATGGAGAAACTGAAGAGCACTTTCAGCAGAATCAATTCCACCAGTAGCCAAAATGGGAAATCCAGGCAGAGCACGAGCAATGGAGGTCACAGCTCTCAAAGCAATAGGTCTGATTGCTGTCCCTACACAAAATGAGAATAATCAATGGTTAGCATACTGACCACTTGAGTACACTGTCTTATATTACTTGTATTATTATCATGTAATAACAGTGTCATACGGGACAAATTTCAAATTTCTTTCTCTCTGTTTAAGATGTATACATGTGTAGTGTATAAATGGTATGTTTTAAAGTATGTTGATTTGTCAATGAATGTTTATTCTAAGGACTTTGATACTAATATTGAATGCAGACATATTATACAAGTAGGTACAGCAAACACAGAATTCTCTATGCATGGATATTACATGCATATTATAATTTGATATACAGTAATGTGTAAAAGATTGCATAGAACATTCAAGCATCAGTGGCTCACGCCTGTAATCCCAGCATTTTGGGAGGCCAAGGCCGGTGGATCACATGAGGTCAGGAGTTCGAGACCAGCCTGGCCAACATGGCAAAACGCCACCTCTACTAAAGATAAAAAAAAAAAAAAAAAAATTACAGGCAGGCACCTGTAATCCCAGCTACTTGGGAGGCTGAGGCAGGAGAACTGCTTGAACCTAGGAGAAGGAGGTTTCAGTGAGCTGAGATCGCCCCATTGCATTCCAGCCTGGGCGACAGAGTGAGACTGTCTCAAAAAACAAACAACCAAACAAACAAATGAAAAGAATAGCCTATTTTGAAAAGAAAAGCAACAATCATGTATAGTACATCAATAGGCATACAGCAATGTTATGTTTCTGCAGAGTACAAAGCAACTGGTATGAACATAGACTCTGAGAAAGAAGGCAAGGTGCTGATGAACTTACAGATTCCATGTTGCTTTTTATATGCACTTCCCACAATTTGAAAAAAAATAAAGAGCCTAATCTAATTTTTCACATATTAGAAAGTTTTAATCAAGTTAAAGAGAATTTACTAGAATCCAGTAATTAGAGTGTATGCATTTAGTTTCAAATATTTAATTAGCCAGACATTGCCAGTATATTATTCCCTAATAGTAATAAAAATTGTATGGATGGAAGAATACTTTGGGGTCATTTTTAAAATGAATATATTGTACTAAAGCTACTTTGAATTATCAAATGTCAAACATCCCAGAGTACATCAATGCTTTCATAAAAAGGAATACAATTTGATATTCATGGCATTTCCTCATAAGTCAGGCATATTTTAAAGCATTTTTCTGAATTAAAGACAGTTCAATTTATGTAAGAATTTGACATTGCCTTAAACCAAGGCTCCACAAACAACATAAACTAACAACTGGTTCAGCCTCATGTGGTGAGTTCTTTATCATCACCTTTACCACTAGTCACCAGCAATATCAATATGTATTTACTGGAGTGCTTACTCTGAGGCAGCACAAAGAGCTTTCCTTTAATAAATGGCCAGAACTTAAAATTTAATTTAATTTAATTTAGAAAATAAAATAAAAATAATTAAGAAATGAAAAGTAAAAAAAAAAGTCTTTCAATCTGAAAAGGCTAGATACCGTATGATTCCAAATGGAAAAGGAAAAACTATGAAGACAGTGAAAATGTCAGTGGTAGTGGTTGTCAGGACTGAACTGGTGGGATAAATAGGGAGAGCAAAGAGGATTTTTAGGACAGTGAAAATATTATATATACTATAATGGTGGATGCATGAGCTATACATTTACATACAAAAAAATACACACTTAGAGAATGTATCTGTTACACTCATAGAACGCATAACGCCAAGAGTGAAACCTATAGTAAAGTTTGGATTTCGGGTGGTTAGGCTGTATGTGTCAATGTAAGTTAATTGATTGTAACAAATGTATCACTCTACTGGGGAATGCTGATAATGAGGGAGGTCATGCATGTCTCTGAGCAGTGGGTATATTGAATATCTCTGTACCTTTCTCTCAATTTTGCTGTGAACCTAAACTACTCTAAAAAATAAAGTCTAAAAAAGAGGCCGGGCATGGTGGCTCATGCCTGTAATCTTAGCACTTTTGGAGGCTGAGGCAGATGGATGACTTGAGGTTAGGAGATCTAGACCAGCCAACATGGTGAAACCGTGTCTCTACTAATAATTAGAAAAATTATCTGGATGTGGTGGCACATGCATTTAATCCCAGCTACCTGGGAGGCTGAGGCAGGAGAATACCTGGAACTTGGGAGGTGGAGGCTGTAGTGAGCCGAGACTGCGCCACTGCATGCCAGCCTGGGCAACAGAGCAAGACTGTCTTTAAAAAAAAAAAAAAAAAAAGCAAAAAAGAATCGATGGCTTTCTTTTTATTCCGTTCATATCTGTTTCAGATAAAACTGAACCTTTACATAACTAATGTTTTTGTACTCAACACAAAAATGTTGGTGGAAATGTCTACTTGTGGCTCCCATACCTAAAACATCTTCCTCTACATATTACTATAGTATTTCTTAATTAGGAGTATTCAAGCTGACACTTCAACATTCATAGCAGACATTTTAAATACAAAGTATTAAGTTGGGCAAATTAGAAGCTGGACATTAAGATTTTACTTATGGATTATTTATCAGTGACTCTTCACAGAAGAGGCTAATAGTGAACAGAATTTATAGTGAGAATACAAAAACACACGTATATACACATATCTTGAGCTATACTAAAAGAAATCTACATGACAATAAAAGTTAAAGTAAAGCATTTTTTAAAGAAATCTATAACAAACTTTTTGATAGACACACAGCTATCTCTGCATAATATAAATGACATAGTCAGTACATACTAACCCAATGGCTTCTTTACATACACATTACTTTGAAGTAATAAAGAAATATTGGGGTTTTCTCCCTTATTTAGTTGACCCAAGAAAGTAAATTTGAGCTAAGCAGATAAATAATTTATTTCTAACTCCACTGTTAGAAGACTATCATTAACAGTAAGGGGTAAAATTTCAAAGTGGTATACAGGGATTTGGCCACATATTCCAATTGATATTAATGAACATCAAATGGCAATATTCCAGAACACAGCTTTGAAAAATTCACCAGTGACACTTAAAGGCCAACATTATTACACAGGTGTTAAAAAAAATCATCGAATTCTCATTGGCATTTGAAGATGTTCAATTAGGTCAATAAGACATTTTCTAATTTATATTTTTCTTCCTTTCTAAGGCTTTTATAATGTACCTAGTTTGAACAGAAAAACTTTTCAAACGAATAAAAGCATTTTTTAAAGTTAAGAGTAACTATGTTCTCTGAGGAAATGAGATCCAAAAAAATGAAGAAATGATCTCTCTTTTTCTGGACTATAGTAAATTCAGTTTTTATTTCCATTATAAACTCAATTTGATTTTTTTGTAACTCAACTGATTTAATATGAAATATAATCTACCTGTTCTCAGCATTTTTATGGGGACTAGGTTTTAAAAATGACTTCATCCACTAAGAAAGGTTTCTAGAAGGAAAACGAAGGTATAGAAAATGATCTTTCTAAATTGTTATGTAGAATTTATTTTTAGTTTTAAAATGACAGAAATGAAGAAATAATAGGTTCAAGATAAAAATAAAACTTTTGATTTAAAGAAGATACATATATCAATGCCATACATAATTGTACGTATGCCAATTAAAATCATAAAGACTTCCTGAATCACAATTACTGAGATAAAGGTCTTTAAAAATTTTGTCACTGCTACAGTGATTAATGATTTTAGACCAAGGAGACTAGGGAGGAAGAAGCCAGTTTGAGATATTCAAGGAATGTGCAGGTGGGCTCTATCCTTAAAAAAAAAAAAACAAGGTTTAAATCAATAAATTGAAATCCTATACACTTAAATGAACTAACAGGTAACATGCAATTTAAATTAAGCCCTCATCTACATGGGGTGGCCAGATGAACCTAATGAGAAATTCAGTTACAACAAGCCATTCTGCTTCAACTGTGTGGAATCCTCCAATAAAAATCAAGCCATTCTGAGTTCCTACATTTTGAAACAAGTTGCAGGTTCAAACAAACAAATAAAAAAATGAACTGGACTTATGAGTTGCAACATTGCTATCAAGAACTTTGCTTTGCATTATGTGGCTCTCCTGGAGTAGCTGGTGGACTAGACTGAAATGTAACTTTTGGTTTCTAGTCAGTCTAGGCCCTCCATGTAGTCACAATTTAAAATACAAATCGGTGTGTTTAATTAATAGACTGTCTCATATAAACTGCACAGAACATTTTTGGATTGATTCATGTTTTAGACAAACATTTTAGTAAGCCAGAGATTTTGAATTATAATCAATCTGATTTTGATGAAAAGTATTTTTCTTAAGAAAATGAATTCTCATTTGCCAGATATCATTTTAAATACAATTTCAGAAATGCTATCATTAGCTATAGTATTATATATTGATATATGTGTATTATGACAATAAGGTTCCTTACTCAGTCTTCATTTATCCATTCATCTTTATATCCACAAAATACTTCTTAAGCACTTACGGCTTTTTTTTTTCCTGTTTATCAGTTTGTATCCTAACTATATATCTATGCTTGACTCACAAAACACCAGATCTTATCGTTGTAGTAGGTTATTTCAAGGTAGTAATTTGAATCCAGTTATTCATTTTCTACCAGTATTCCATTAGAAACAATTTAATTTGTTATAACATTACACATTTTATAAATACTATTAATATGAATTCTAGAAAGAAGGTAATTTAAGGATGAACTAGTCACCAACATCAGACAGACAATTGGGCCAACTGCTGAGGTTCAACTCTTAGTTCCATTTACAAGCTGTGTGACTTTGTGAAAAATTTTAACTGTCACTGTATCTAAATTTTGTTATCTATAAAATAATACAAATTGTAATAATACCTTCATAGAGCTGTTTTGAGGAATAAATTATATAATATATCTAAAGGGCTAGCGCATGATAAAATTATAGAAGTGTTTGCTGTTATAATTTGTGCTACCCTCAAGGACAACTGATTTCAGAGGGAACATTTATGTATTTACTTTGACATTGCCTTCTGTGTTCTTGTGTGTTTAGTGATGCAATTAAAACCA